TGCTGACAATATAACTAATGCTATCAGAATCCTCTGTCATGTTATCGATGATAATGGTTTTACTGCTGGTCAGTCACCTCTTGTGAACATGATTTTCGATAGGCCACGATGCGGACCTGATCAAAAATGTTATCTCTACAATCTCCTGACACGTTTGGAAAGGGTTCCGCTTAATGCACTCCACCTTTCTTATAACTTTCAGTAACGACTTTTTAGTACACCAAACGCGCTTCCACCTTTCAGATTTTTTGCGTTTGTCCACTGCTTGCATGAGGTGAAATAAATCTTATTCAGTGTTAAGGCTGTTGTGAAAAAAAATCAAGCGATCACAGGTTCAGCTTCGCTCAGGTAACCCTTACTGTTACTTAAGTGGTCTTGAAGACTTGCCCACAATTCCGTTCACTAAAACACATTGCCTGAATTCATACAAATTCACTTCAACAAGTTCTCTGTCCAAACATGACGACTTCTATCCGCGTAACAGTGAACATGGCAAGCATGGGTCTCATCTATTCCCAAGGCACGGCGGACGATGGTAAAATTGACGGTAGTGACGCCGATTATATGAACCAGGAAGTGCTTCTTCCTAGCCTCGTGAGAAAAAGAGCTGAATTTGCCAGAACACCGTGAAAGCAAACTGCATACCCATATGCGCAGACGATTCTATCATGTGCGAGGGTGACGGTCCGGTAACTCGAGGCGACCACTGTTCTTGCGATCAAAAGGGCAAGAAAACAGGTTCGAAGGGTAGTGAGTGATACATGTGTGCGGTCACCATAATACACACGCCATCCTTGAAGGCAGTTGGCACAATAATTTGGTACTCAGCCTAGAAAGCTAGCACGGCTCAATAGCCAATTAACGAAGTGAAACGGACACAAACCTGCGAAGAAAAGCGTTCGTTTTTTATGACCCAAAAAGCAATTTCGGACAGTTTCCCGGAGGCATCTTACCATTAATCGCTACAGTAGGCATGGCTGCGCGTATGTACTCATACATCCATGCAGCACTGCGCCCGCTTCATATCGACCCCTTCGCTTCATATTTTGCTTAGCCAATGAAGCAATACGAGCATCGGAACGGTCGTTCATTTGTAGGCGGGCAGGCGTGGTGGGCGTTCGGATTGGCATGTTGTGGCTTGGTAGGGCCTTATAAGGGTACCTTCCTTTGGAAAGGCGCTGCGTAGCAAAATATGAAGCGAAAGGATTGGTATGAAGCGGCTGCGGTGCTGAATAGATATAAGAGTACACACATGCAGCCGTACCTGCCCGAACGGTTATTTGCAATATGCCTACAGGAAACTCGTCTGAAATGCTTTTTTGGAGAGCGCAAGCTCTCTTCTTTTCATACGGTTTATTGATCGACCTTCACTTCGTTTTTTCGGCCATTTTCCTCGCTATATAGATTCCTGCTAGCATTTTAGGCCGCGTACCAAGTTAGTTAGTTTGCCTTCAAGGTGCAGCACCTGTGTCTATAGTTCCGCAGCAAAGCATGCACGGGAAAAAACACGCGAAACACAGCGGTCGAGCAGTAGTTGACTGCCAGGCTTGTGGCGCGGCCAGCATGAGGCCGCAGGCGGCCACAGCCGCCCGCGTTGAAGCGAACTACGCTCACCACGAAATTCGACCGGTGGATGAATTGAATTGCAGCAGGTAGGATATTACCAGCCTTAGAGGCACAGCGCGAGTAGCGCGTCTGATTATGGAATATGGTCAGGCAGGCGCTATCGACTGGCTAGTTGCAGCCGCGCGGGGGGGCGTTGGAGAGGGGGTAGGGGAAGAAGAGCATTGAACTACCACTGCCCTCAGGCCGCTTTTTGGCGCTGAGTGGCGCAAGTATCACGTTTTTCCGGCTGCCATGCCGTATAAAATTAGGACGTCGGAGGTTAGCGCACATTTAGCTCTGAACTTGACGTTAGCGGACTCTATTTAACCTTTCCCACGACTATGACACGCCCTAATTCGTAGAAGATTCGGCGGAATTTTTGTTTTTGTGAGCGAGATTCGTTCAACCGCTTCACNTTAAAAAAGAAAGTGCATTTATGATCTCCTGGAGAGGAACAGATTTGCGATGAACACAATGCTTTGTTTTAAATCGACAGTTCTAATAATCAGCTATTGCTTTGTTAGGAGTAACATCGTCTTGTCGTGCTTCGCCAACACTTCGTCACTCGGCTGTTAATGGGAATCGACAAGTAGAAATGAGCCATATCATCCAAGGTTCTGAACCTAAAATCTCTATTATGTAAAATAAGAAGTATTGAAGTAAACTCTACCATATCCGTCCACTAAAGTTGTTAGAAATACGTACTGGGATAAGTGGCGAAAGTAGGACGTTCGAGTCCCGCTTTGAATGGTTACGGAAGGGCTCTATCCTTTGCAGTCTTGGGAATATTTCTACTCTGGCAGCCGCCCCACCATGTACATACAGGGGCGGGGGGCGCAAAAAAGAGACATTCTCATCATCCACTTTCGAGGCGAATAACTTACACTTTATTGAATTCTGATTGGACATTTCCACCATCAAATTCAACAACACATTGTACACTATCACGAAACTCCGCCACAGCCTTCTGGACGACGCCATCGAGAGATTCTGCCACGCGACCGTGATTCGGTGCCTGAGTTCAGCGAGGTCGTTGATTTCTCCGCCACTGTAGACCACCCTGTTGAGCTCCTCCCAGACCCGGTAATCGAATTTAGGTAGGTCAGGTGACATACTTTTATATTGCCGCCTTCTTGAGGCTCTCAACGCCTTTCGATTCCAAGTAGGCGAGAGTTTTTCCAACGCCCTTTGATTCCATGTGCTGCACCCAATCCTGTAGCAGTACGAAGTTTCCAAGATGGTACAGGCGACGACATGAAGGCAGGATATTCTCCTCGAGTTGGTCGATGTAACCGTCAGCGTAAAATATCGGTCTTCTCATTCCAGGAACTTCCGGTCCATACCATCAACCCGTGCCTTGGCAACTGCGGTGAAGATGATATCCTGGACCGTAGCGACGTTGTCGGAGCTGCTCGATGTTGGAGATCTTCCAGATCAAGAGTGCCGGTCCCCAGGTCCATGGGTCGACTCTATAGAAGAAGGTTTCGCAGCTGTTCGGAGGTGAATTGCTGAGTTGATCGTGAATTCCATAGCCTTCACTAGTCCGCGGCTACGTCATTCAATATGTATGATGCCTCATATTTGGTGTACATGAAATGATGACGAACATCCTTGCTCCTGCTATCGAGCGAACATCAGAGTATCCTCTACTCGTTATTCACTATTCCTCGCGGCGCGTAACCTTACTGCTATGTGCACATCGTCGAAGTAGACTTCTTTGGCCCTCCTGATGTGTACCGATCCGCTTCTCAGTGAAACAACATCGGCGAAAGTCCATCACCTCAGTATCGAATCAAAGGATGTTTATGTTATATGATTGGAGATGCTCATTATGGGAAAGATTTGAAGGGACTATTCCTCAGCGCGCCCGCGCTGTGGACGGACCGGGCGCGGTGCCTGAAGCGCATGGTCTCCGTCTTGCCACGGCCTTCGGAAGGCAGTAACACTTCGTCAACCTATGCCAACCATGTGCTGATTAATTCAGTCGGCATTCTCTGTGAATTTTCTCCTTAGAGATCTTCCCCTTTCTCTGAATAAACTTCTCGCTGTCCTTTCTTGTATCGTTGTCGTTACCTAATAATCCCTTGCTACTTATCGCCTCCACCTCATGCCCTATGCCGTTCAAAATTCATTGGCAATCCGAACATATAGAGTTCATCGCCAGTACCGCGGCAGGATGTTAGTTTGCTTTGCCATATCGTCGCTGCGCAACATGCCCGCTGCCACTGACTGTGAGTCCTTCCCGTCTTCGAAGAGGCCAATGGACATAATGGTCGTCTTGAGGATCGATTCATGGAAACAAAAGTTTTATGCAAACAATTCTACTTCTCTTTGTACTCTTTTATTACAATGCGGAAAAATCAACAGTTTGGACTTCATCTTACACCTCACCAAAGAACAAAAACCGGATAGGTGTCTAGGATATCCCTATGGAATATGTGGCTCCACTTATCTGCCATAGAGCACCATCTTTCTCAATTTTTAACATTTCCGCAGAGAATAGACTCGCTTAAAATACTTTTTGATTATCGCTGAATGACCGTTTTGATAAGTTAATATGTTGAAACAGCTGTGTTACTCGCCTCTTTTCCAACTTGGAATCCAACTTTCAGTTTTCTGTCACCAGAACCTCTCGCTAAATAGACAACGAACGGATATATGCTCAGTGCTGACAGCGCTCGCTATAAGAAAAATTACCACTGAATCAATTTTCGGCGAACCTAATTTGAACACCTAGTCCACCTTCACTTCATGGGCGGAGTCGGACCTACTTGCCTCTATTTTTCATTGGTGTGTACTTCGTTTAGGAGCGGTGTAGGGCAAGAGTGTTCATAGGGAAGGTGGTCCACTGGGCGGTTAGGCCTAGCTCCGCCCAAACGGAATGACCCTATTTAGCCTTGAAACAGCACAGTAGCCATAGGCTTTTATAGTTGGAGGCGTGTGTTGCGATTACCTAATAAGTTAAGGTCTTCCGCTTTTCACGGTAGAATGATGGGGCTGCGGAACCTACGCCGCTCGAAAATGAAAGGCAACGAAGCGCTAAGACCGTCGTTGTCCTTTGTAGCGCCACTCGTCAGCATCAACCCAAAAACCAGTGTAATATCTGTGCGGTGCTGTGCTTGTGTTGTGCTTTTATCCTCTTCTACCTATTCTCTACGCTCTCGTACGCACTCATAGTGTCTCGCCTTTCCCAATTCTCGTCTAATGCTGAATATCATCAGTTTCTTCAGAGCATATAAAATGTGGTCACGGCACATGTTCTCAATTTTATGACCTCTGAAGAGTACAGGGTATGGAACCCAAAAGTGCTATAGAATAAATAAGTTGTTCATGAAGGGAGGCTTCTTAGCGCAGCTGGAACGACTCTTCGTTCTTACATAAACCGTGTCCCAATAATGACATATAACAGGATTGTCAAAACGACGACAGTGCTTCGAATACCGACATGGTACTGCTTCATTGATTCTTGCCTTAGAATAACTAATATTAACTCGAAGTATCTAGTTCCCGCAAACTCACCAAGACCTACGACTCCTACCACCACTACTACTACAACTACGACAACAACAAAACGACCTGTTCCATTTATAAACACAGGAACTGACTCTAAATGCGAGGACAACCATTCGTATGACACCTTTTCATATTACTAGTTCCGTCAATATTTATCCGCAAGCTAATTTCAGCTGTCTCTCTCTTGTGCCAAGTGGTTTCTGCAAGGGGACACTATCAGAGGCTACCAAGAAGAAAGTGTGTCCGAAGTCATGCGGTTTCTGTGATTCTTTGCATTAACTGCAATGAAGATTTCATAAATCGCTCTAATCTATATCACCTTACAAAACAGCGCGTATATCTGCGCATTTAATGGCTGAAAAGGCTTCAAGAGGTCTTCAGCGTGCACTACTAAAGAGCTTGCTGCTGCTGAATAACGTTCACACTTGCAGGGCTATGTAAAGCAATGTTTCTCCTAGTCTATAGAGGTAATCGTAAGATTTACTGCAGGTGGCCCTGTTTTATGATGTAGTTCTTATGCCTACAGGGGGGGGGCAAAAAAAACTTTTTTCTTCCTTGACTTTCGAGGCGCTATAAGTTACACTTTATTAAATTCTTATCGGACATTTCTACCACCATATTAAAGAGCATATTAAATACTATCATGATACTCCGCCACAGCCTTCTGGAGGAGCGCCATCGAGAGATTCTGCCACGCGACCGTGAGTGGGTGCCTGAGTTCAGCGAGATCGTTGATTTCTCCGCCACTGTAGACCACCCTATTGAACTCCGCCCGAACCAGGTAATTGAGGGGTTTAGGTCAGGTGACCTGCTTAGATATTCTGTACCTTCTTAAAGTTTTTTATTTTCCTCAGGTACTCAACGCCCTTCCATTCCAAGTAGGCAGGATATTCTTCTCGAGTTGCTCGATGTAACCGCCAGCGCTCACCTTCAGTCCGGGGCCCACGAAGAAAATATCGGTCTCTCCATTCCAGGTACGTCCGGTCCCCACCATCAACTGGCGCCTTGGCGACTGAGGTGAAGATGATGTCCTAGACCGTAGCGACGTTGACGGAGCTGCTCGATGATGGAGGTCTTCCAGATGGAAAGTACTGGTCTCCAGGTAGCTATCCATGGGTGACTCCATACTAGAAGTTTCGCAGCTGTTTGGAGGTGACATGAATTCCAAAGGTCTTCTCCAGGCTGCGACTGGAGATGACTTCATATTTTGGTGTACATGAAGGTGATGGGCGAGAGCCAGCTCCTGCTTATCGAGGAACATCTTGGGTATCTTCCGGTACTCGTATCCACGTCCTCTGTCTGGGCTGCGAAAACTTTGCTGATATGTGACTCGGTCGAAATGTCTTTTTTTGCCCCCCCCCTGTATAGGATGACAAAGCTACCGAAATCCCCTATGAGTCGAGTAAAATGGTAAATGGTTTTCCTTCGAAGGCACGCCTTGCTGTGGCTCATCTACTAACATGTCTTGCAGAAATGAATTCAAAACTGAGAAAAGTCCTCTAAAATGCTTTGTAAAGTACCCCATGCTAACGCGAGCGAGACATTGAGTAAGTGCATCAGGCAAAGAGTGGGCGTTACTACTACTATTCTCACTTGTTGGCATTAGCTTGTTCCCGTTACAGTTCACGGACAGAGCTAGTACAGAATAATCGGAACAGGGCAGAAATGCTCGTGGACGGGACTACCAACGCGAAGCGCGCCCTTAGGATGCGCTGCACGCTCACCATTAGCTGTGCGGGGTGAACGGGTCAGCAACTATACAATTGTGCCACTTCGCGAAAATGAGGATAGCTTGAGCTGGATGCTATTTTATCTCCAGCCACGGATAAAGTGAGCCAACATGCAATGTGTAGCTCTACTAACCAGGAAAGGTCAACAGGTCGCCATGGCCATTCAGGATGGGATGCATATTGTCGTGTGCGTCTCGGGCACTGAACTCAAATCTGCTTTCAGAATTTGCGGAACGAGTCTCCAGGAGGGGCTAGGGAGGGGGTTTCTTTCATTGCACTTGATGACCCTCCTTTGCGGTAGCTCAAGTTAAGTTCGAGAGCTGTCAGTGCCAAGCAGTCAGTGGTGTAGTGGATAGGTATGTTGCTTTATATATGTGAGGTCAGAGATTCGATTCCTTGAAAATTCCGCATTTTTGTATTCTTTCCTGAACATCCTCTGTGGGTCCAGCTTGTACTTTTTTCCGTTATTTTCTCAAGCTCGCCTTCATTCGCAGCAGGAAAAGAGTCGCACGCCGGCACTTGTTATTAAATGGAAAAAAGCACGAAACTAAGCCGATTCTCCCTCATAGCACTTCGAGTAGTAGCGTTGGGGCGCGCTCTGACTCGTGCCGACGATCGCCGCGATCACCACAATCGCCGCTGCTGTCGCGAAGTATGAACGCTGCCTTGCCGCTCAGTACGTGTTTCCCTGCGAGACCTTGGCATCGGCGCAAGTGCTGAATCTTGAGAGTGGCGGAGGCGGAGTATGGAGAGAGGGCTGGAAAACCCGGATGTTATTTAGATACCCAATCATGTGGAAAAAGGTAAGCGCGGCAAAGCCGCGCCTGCATGGCCAAGCCACGCCGTATCACAGAAGAAAGCGCGCCAGTTTCAGCCGGCAAGTCGATTAGCAACAATGATATTAGTATAGGCAGTAATGGTGACTAAGACTCAAGACGGATGGATGGGTTACAATGAGCCGCCAGGGAACATTGAAACTAAAGACAAATGCCCTTGTCGTTATCCCGCTGGAATGACCAAAGAAAGAATCGAGGTGGAGAAGAGCACGTTGGTGAGAAATGAGATGCAAGCCCAAAGAGAAGTACTTCCGTCAGCCCAGTCCTTTTCGGCCCTTGATCTGTAAGAAGCACAAATGAGTACGTGCCTGCACTTTAAAGGAAGTTATTTCACGTTTTTTATACGCTATTATTGTTTCATTGCATGCCCGCGTGTAATGCTTACATTACAGCGCACCTATGCGTGCTATACATACTAACATAAATAAGGTTAAGGGCGTTAGAAAATGAACAATCGTTTCTAGGTCGATCACCCACGTCTATTCCCATCGAAAAGCGTAGTTGTAACCAATTGTCAAGGGAGTGGTTTTCTGGGACAGCTTTTATGTCATGTTAACCCCTTTTATCCTCCACGATAAGCTGGCTGCCTAATTCGCGGTAGGAAGGATTAGAAGGACAGAAAGCATGAAAGGACAGGTTCGATCCGGCGGATAAGCTTTCAGGATCAGGCTAAGATGCGCCATAAACATTGCCGAGTAACACGATATACTTAGCAGGTGTGATGCTACTTTTTTTTCAACAATGGTGCAGGAGGCCTTTTTTCAGGATATCCATTTGAGACAACTGTTATCCTCTCTTGTACTGAACAGAAGCAGGATTTCGACTGTGGCAAAAGAGCAGTAATTCATCAAAAGCGCAGCCGCCTCGTTCAAATGAAGATAAAATCAGGGGCATGGCGGTTTTCCAGGAAAATGACCATGAAACTTCATTTTCAAGGGTAGTTTGTATGACCACCACGGCAGTGTGAACAATTACAAGAGCAAATGTAATTTGCATCTTTCTGAGAATCGAAGTCGGCACTTTGTATATTTTTTGATTTATGGCATGAATGCGCGAACTCCTTCCAGAAGTTTTTTTTTTCAGTCCTTCAATACATCTGTCTGACTTTACTGTCGTTACACCCTTTTGATATTGCGAGAACTGGAGGATACGGCGAAGCTGGGTGAATTGGCAGATAATATTACGCCCACTATTACTATTACTTATTATTACAGGATTTGTCCCCCCTCTCTGAACGAATGGTATGAGCTCATCGTGTCCCTCGAGCAGAGAGCTCCTTGGGCCACTCTCGCACGTTGCAGGGACGATGGAGAGTTTACTGGTGCTGAGGAACTCGATGATCAACGAGAGCACTGGTGATGCAAGTGATTACGCCCGCAAATCCGGGAGGCAAGTCCTTGGTTGCAGCTCGTTCAGGTGAACCCACCCCCCCCCATTCTTTCGGGTTAGATTAATTGGTACCGGATATGTTTGGAATGGTGGAAACGTTTGGCAGTGCAGTGTAATCGTTTCGGCTAACAGAGTCTGCAGCAAACACGATAGTATGTCGCCTTCTCCACCAGTGTTTTGAGGCGGGAAAACGGCAATTATTTGGGAACAGCGCTCCACACCGAGTCTACCGACACGCCTCAGCGTCTGCAGCGAAGATGGCTACATGTAGAACAGTTAAACTAAGTACGAAACTGCTTTTCTGTACTCCATCCTTCAAATTCACTACATAAGGGAATGGTCGCTACTGACTACCGTGCGACGACGATATTCAGGAGCCCTTGGATGGAGTGTTCGCGGATTTCGTTGGTTTTGTTTGAGCTCCGAAGCCGTCATCGAAATGCTAAGGTTGATTGGCGGGCTTTAAGGCAGTTGGCAGCGATCATCACTCAAAGCGACTAGGCTTCTAGGCAGGATAGCATTCACGAGCCTGGTAGGCGCGCCATAGTGGGTTCTCTATGGTATTGGTTTCCTCTTTATTATGATTCTCTATAACTACAACTTTACGTCTTAAACCTGTTTGCCGCTACGTATTTTTTTTTTTCTTTCGTCTTTGCACAAATGGACAACCGTTCCTGACGCTCGTATTCACTGATTTGCTAAGCAAATTATGAAGCGAAGGGATTGGTATGAAGCGGCCGTGATGCTGCATGCTCCATGGTACAACATACTGCAGGCCGTACTTCGTAGCGGTGATTGGTAAGATGGCCTAATGGGAACCGATCGTCCGAAATCTTATACAGTTCACTGGAACGAAGGCTTTTTCTTCGGCAGCGATTTTGACCTGTTCACTCGTTCTTTCGCACATTATTCCCCCCACTATATAAAGCGCCCTACTAGCATTTTAGGCTAAGTAGGAAACCATCGTGCCAACTGCCTTTAACGGGATAGTGTTCATCCCCAAAACTCGAAGCACGTTAAGGCCGGTGGAGAAGAGGACCACGTCGAACCGCGGAACACACTATCCTCTCAACACCATCTTTTCAACTTCTATACCTGATCGCGAACCGTGCCACTGAGATCATTGGAGCCGGACGAGAGGCAGCAGACTAGTTTCCTTCCCTTCCTCAGCCGAATGTAACGACCCTGGCCAATTGAAAACATTAACAGCATTGGCGACAAGGCGCCTTTTCGCGTGTGCTAACCGCGTGTGGACAAAGCAGGTTTTTCCCTGTTTTTTGAGAAAATAAGATAAATGCAGGCCGCGTTTATAAAAAATTGAAGA